TCTATCCCAATAAACGAAGGTACACCAGAAAAAGGCCAACAGAAAGGCTCGATGATCCCCAAATGGATCCTTGCCTACCCCAAAGGCTGAAAAATTACTTCATCATCACATGAGTCATCAAACATAATCATTGGAAGACCCGATCACCATCCTTCCATCCAAGAAAGAAGGAAGCCATCAAAATAGAAAAGCCAAATGGAAAGGCTTGATCATCCCCAAGAGGACCCTTGCCTACTCCAGAGGCAAAATAAAAAGACTACCTCACGACTCAACGGCATCACCACCTGAGTCATCAAGCACACTCATGCAAAAATCTCCGCTTTATTCCCCAAAGGAGAATAAGGACTACACAAGAGTCCATCAAAGAAAATACGGAGTCAAATCCTCGATATCACCAGGGGGCAACAAAAAGAAAGAAAAGAAAAACTTTCATTCCCCAATAGAGGCCACAACGAAAAAGGGCCAAATAAAAATCTCCAAGTAAAAACATATCAAGAAAAGTCTACAAAAAGACAAAAAGAAGAAAATCTCTTCATCCCGCTCAATAAAGAGCTTCACAAAAGTCAGGAGCCAAGACTTCATCATCAAAGATTGGATCCCCAGGGAGTCAATAAACTCCCTGGGATCGCCAAAAAGAAAAGAGAAAAAAGATATCTTTTCATCCAAAGAAAAAGCCAATGTGCATAAAAGGCGCACATATGTAAAAGCCAAATCGCGAAAAAGAGATAAAATCACGAGAAAAGGTAAAAACCCATTCCCCAGCGGAATAAGAGCGTAGGCAAAGCCAGCTCAAAACCAGCTCAAAACAAAGGAGTCAAAAACTCCATCCCTCCCTAGGGGGCAATTCAAAATAGATCTCAGGAAAACGATAAAATCCCTGGTGGATCACCAAAAAGAAAAATCCCCAACAAGCCTACCAGCAAAAGGCAAACTACAAATTCATATCCTCAGGGAGTTAATTACCTGTAACACCCAATATGAATATCCCCAGTGAAAGGCAAAGCCGTCACTCCCAAGAAAGCCTCTGCCTACTCAGAGGCAAGCAAAGAGCCGATATCCCCAAGAAATGGGAAATCAACCTATGTAAGAGGCAAAACAAGTCCAAAGCACAAAGCTTCCAAAAAAGCATTTGATTACTCAGAGGTATTTTCAAGAGCAAATATCCTCAAGTGGAACATCAGCCTATTCAGAGGCGAAAAACAACAAGTATAAAGCCTTCACCACTATTTTAAGCATCTGCCTAAAAATAAGAGGCACAATCGACAAGAAATCAACAAATCTCCAGGAAATTCCTGCCTAAAATAAGAGGCAACCAACAGGAAATCCCCGGCAAAGCCGGATGGCTAAAAGAAAAGCCAAAAACAAGAATCCCCGGCAAAGCCGGATGGCTAAACGAAAAAGCCAAACACAAAGAAATCCCCGGTAAAACCGGATGACTAAAACAGAAAAGTCAAAAAGAAAGAAAATCAATTACTCCCCATGGAATAGGCGCATGATCGGAAAGAGTAAGCCGCCAACACATCTTCATAACCAGATGACCATAGGATTGACTATCAAAAAGTGCATCCTAAAGAGCCTTGCAGAACGGGGCTCGTTCAGAACCTTGCAGAACGGGGTTCATACCGGGTGGGGGTAGGTACCCATCAGAGCCTTGCAGAACGGGGTTCGTACCGGGTGGGGGTAGGTACCCATCAGAGCCTTGCAGAACGGGGTTCGTACCGGGTGGGGGTAGGTACCCATCGAGCCTTGCGGAACGGGGTTCGTACCGGGTGGGGGTAGGTACCCATCGAGCCTTGCAAAACGGGGTTCGTACGGGTGGGGGTAGGTACCCATTAGAGCCTTGCGGAACGGGATTCGTACGGGTGGGGGTAGGTACCCATCAGAGCCTTGCAGAACGGGGTTCGTACCGGGTGGGGGTAGGTACCCATCAGAGCCTTGCAGAACGGGGTTCGTACCGGGTGGGGGTAGGTACCCATCAGAGCCTTGCAGAACGGGGTTCGTACCGGGTGGGGGTAGGTACCCACCAGAGCCTTATAAAATAAGGTTTGTACCGGGTGGGGGTAGGTACCCATTAGAATCTAGCAAAAATGCAGATTCGTACCAGGTGGGGGTAGATACCCACCAGAGCCTTATAAAATAAGGTTTGTACCGGATGAGGGTAGGTACTCATCAGAATCTAGCAAAAATGCAGGTTCGTACCAGGTGGGGATAGGTACCCACCAGAACCTTATAAAATAAGGTTTATACCGGATGAGGGTAGGTACTCATCAGAATCTAGCAAAACGCAAATTCGTACCAGGTGGGGGTAGGTACCCACCAGAGCCTTATAAAATAAGGTCTGTACCGGATGAGGGTAGGTACTCATAAAAAACTTAGCAAAATGCATCAGGTAGAGTAAAATACTCACCAGAGCATCACAAAAATGGGTTGCAAATACCTTACTTCTGTTAGAGGATAGTTCAAGTGTTGAGCACCTCGGAAGTAAGTACCCACAAGAGTTTAGCAAAATGCGAACTCGTACCAGGTGAGGGTAGGTACTCACCAAAACCTTGCAGAACAAGGTCCATACCAAGTGGGGGTAGGTACCCACAAGAACCTTATGGAATATGGTTCAGAATCTAGCAAAGAGCAGATTCATACCTAGTGGGGGTAGGTACCCACAAGAGTCTAGTGAAATACAGACTCATACCTGGTTAGGGTAAGTACTCACCAGAGCCTTATAAAGTAAGGCTCAAACCAGATAGGGGTTGGTACCTATCAAAAATATTTATCATCCGGAGGATCAGCAAAGGAGCATCTGAAGGATAACCGGGCAAAAGGGTTAACTCCTTCCCCTACCAACTAATTTTGTTGGCATACTAAGCCAACAAATTAGCCAGGCAGGTGAAGGGGGGGCAGCTGTAGACCCCTAATTTTGCCCGGCCTCTCAATAAAGGCTAAGGAGACTTCCTATAACAAGATAAAGCTCGCCTGGCATCTCGATAAAGGCCAAGAAGACTTCCTATATGAAGATAAAGCTTCAATGAGCATCTATCGGCATCAATCGACGTCCGAATAAATAAAGGAAAGCTTCCCGGGGGTCCTAGAACACAAAAGCTGGCCAAAACAAGTTGAGACAGCCGTCCCAAATGTGAGACGGTCGTCCCAAGCTGCCCTGGCCAAGTGGGACGCCCGTCCCAAAGTTGAGACGCGCGTCTCAAGTCCCAAATTTGAATGGGACGGCCGTCCCAAATCCCAGACGGCCGTCCCAACCTCTCCAGACGCTCATCCCTAATTTCCAAGCCCCAAACGGCCGTCCCAAGCTTCCAGGCTGCGAAAACTATAAATAGGAGGCTCATTTGCCACTTTTCCACACTCCAGACAACTCCCAGTACTTGTCTTCTCTTCCTACTTTGAATGAACTCTCTGATTGC